GGGGTGGGGGCAGGGGTGAGGGTGGGGTAAAAAAATTGAATTTAAAAACAAGCTTTAAAATTATTATTTTTTGGGGGCGGGGGGTTGAGGGGCTGGTTTGAGGGTAGGGACAAAATAAATTGATTTTTTTCAACAAAAAAGTAATTGTAATTTGAAGTTGAAAGAGAGGTTTGGAAAATGTTTTCCTTAAGTTTTGAAGGGAAGTCATTTTCCTTAAATTTGAGGAAAATGAGTTGATTTGAAAAACATTTCCAAAACATTTAACCCAACCAAACATGAGAAAATTGGAAAACATTTCCTTCATGCCAAACACACCCTTAATCTTGTCAAGTAAAGAAGATCTTGCCTTCCTCACAGGCCAAGAATCCTCATTTCTCGAGTACTTCCAGCCTCATAAAGTCATTAGCCAGAGTTTGAACCTCTCTAGCCAATGGGCATCTAGAAACCTGTAAGTTGGCCAAACTCCCCATGCTCCCTGCTTTTCTACTTAGAACATCATCCACAACATTAGCTTTTCCCGGGTGATATAGAATAGTAATATCGTAGTCTTTCAATAAGTCCATCCACCTCTTCTGCCTCAAATTCAAATCCTTCTGAGTGAACACATATTGTAAACTGCGATGATTTGTATACACTTCACACTTGACTCCATATAGATAATGCCTCCACTGCTTCAATGGGTCAGATAGTTACGTTCATGCCTTGAAGCATAAGCAATTACATTCCTCTCCTGCATTAGTACTGCACCCAAACCAGAATAAGATGCATCACAATAAACAATGAAATTCTTACCTTCCACTGACAAGGCGAGAATCGGTGCAGCAGTCAACAAGGTCTTGAGTTTCAGGAAGCTTTTCTCACACTCATCTGACCATACAAATGGAACATTCTGCTTGGTCAAATTGGTCAGCTGGGAAGAAATGGAAGAGAATCCCTTGACAAATTGGCGGTAGTAGCTAGCTAAACCAACAAAGCTTCTTACCTCTGAAACATTAGTAGGCCTTACCCAATTCTTCACCGCTTCAATCTTAGTGGGATCCACCATCACTCCATCCTTAGAAACCACGTGCCCTAAGAAGGACATTGAATCAAGCCAAAACTCACACTTGGAGAATTTGGCATAAAGCCTTTTCTCCCTTAACAACCCCAATACAATTCTCAAATGCTTCTCATGTTCCTTCCAGGCTCTTGAGTATATCAGTATATCATCAATGAATACAATAACAAAGAGGTCCATATATGGCTTAATAATTCTGTTCATCCGACTCATGAAAGCAGCAGGGGCATTCGTAAGCCCGAAAGACATTACTATGAATTTATAATGCTCATACCTGGTTCGAAAAGCAGTCTTTGGAACATCTGTTGCCTGCATTTTCAATTGATGATAACCGGACCTCAAATCTATTTTAGAGAAGACACAAGCACCCTGTAACTGGTCAAACAAGACATCAATGCGAGGAATGGGGTACCTATTCTTAATAGTTACCTTATTCAACTACCTATATAGTCTATGCACATCCGAAAACTACCATCCTTCTTCTTCTTCACAAATAAGCTGGAGCACCCCAAGGAGATGCACTCGGCCTAATAAAACATTTACCTAACAACTCCTGAAGTTGGTCCTTTAACTCCCTTAACTCAGCTGGGGCCATTCTATAAGGTGGAATGGAAATGGGGTGAGTCCCTGGCTCCAAGTCAATACAAAAATCAATATCTCTATCTGGTGGCATACCAGGCAGGTCTGCAGGAAAAACATCTGTAAACTCACGGACTTTCGAAACAGACTCGATTGAAGGCACTTTGGAAGTATCATCCCTGAGATGTTCCAAGAAAGCTAAACCACCCTTACTCACCAACCTCTTAGCATGAAGAAAAAGGATAATACGAACTGGGGCGGGAAAGTAGTCACCCTCCCACACTAGTGGATCTGTCCCAGGCTTGGCCAAGGTCACAGTCTTAGCATTACAATCTAAGATAGCAAAATTTGGAGAAAGCCAAGTCATACCCAGAATTACATCAAAATCAACCATCTCTATAATAATCAAATCTACATAAGGGTTGCTCCCCACATAAGTCATAAGGCAAGACCTATACACCTTCTCAACTATCACAGACTCACTGATAGGAGTAGAGACACGAATAGGCATGTCAATCAAATCACAATGCAAATCAAGACCAGTAGAGAACGAAGAAGATACATAAGAAAATGTGGATCCAGGGTCAAACAATACAGAAGCCATGCAATCACAGACTAGAAGTGTACCTATGATAACAACATCAGATGTCTCTGCCTCTAACCTCCCAGGGAAAGCATAACAATGGGCCTTATTACTTGTCTGTCCATTGCCCCTGCCGGGTTGCGCTCTAGTAGTTCCAACCTGCCCGCCACCGCGGCTAAACTGGTGACCACCATTACCTTGTCCGCCACGTCCTCCAGAATGACGGCCTCTACCATGACCACCCCTACCTCTAACTGCTGGAGATCTGTAACTCCGATCGTACCGTGCCTGACTCTGCTTTGGACAATATTTCCTCGTATGTCCGGCCTCCCCACATCCATAACAAGTCCTGGAGTCGAGTGTAGGTCTTTGTGAAGATGAAGAAGACTGAAGATAAACCCCAAACTCAGAAAAAAGGTTGGCTAGTCTGTTACAGACCCTCAACTGAAACCTGCAATGAAGACTTAATAGGGCGGGGTGGATAACCCCCTAAACTCTGCCCTCTAGAGTAAGAACCACTAAACTCACCTCCCTTACGGAACTTCTTAAACGTTAAAACCTCAGTGAAGTCATCTGGTTTCACCCCCTCTACCTCTATCACAAAGTCAACCACTTCCTGAAAAGATTTTGCAGAAGCAGCTACCTGTAAAGCTGGAATCTGCAAATCTGACCTTAATCCCTTACAAAGCGGCGAATCCGCTCTTGCGGACTGAAGCAAAGCTGAGTGGCATACCTGGATAATGCACGAAATTTGGCCTCATAAGCTACAACAGACATCCTTCCTTGCTCTATGTTTAGGAACTCATCTCTCCTGTTGTCCCTCAAAGTCCGGGGTATATACTTCTCCATGAAGAAGCTAGAAAATGTTGCCCAAGTCATAGGTGGTGCCTTTTCTGGTTGACACTCAACATGAGACCTCCACCATATTTTGGCATCTCCTTGAAACTGGTAGGTCACAAACTCAACACCGAATCGCTCCACTATGTCCATCTTATGTAGCAGCTCATGACAATCAACCAGGAAATCATAAGCATCTTCAGATTCGGTAGCCTTGAAGACTGGAGTTTTCAACTTTAAGAACTTAATAAAGAGGTCATGCTGGACATTAGTTATTATAGACCCTGTAGTCAATCGGGGAAACATGTCTGTTTCCAAGGACGCATCCATGCGGGGAGCCACAACAACTGCATGTTGTACTCCCTGAACCTGAGGTGCTGGTGTAGAAAACGCTGGGGTGCCTGGCCCTGATCAGATAACCCACTGAGATAAGTTAGAACCTGATTAATCATCTTTGGAGTAGGCTGGGGTGGTACTTCCTTCTCTTGAATCTGCTCATCGTCCCCTTCATCACCCTCTATCGCAACCTCATCAATCGGTGGAGGAGTCACCGCTCTATCCCTAGTTGGACTAGGTGCTTGTCCTCTGCCTCTAGTTGGCCTTCTCCCGCGACCTCTACCACGGCCTCTCGCCACTGCTCCCTTTCGAGATGCAGCCCCAATGGTTTGCTCAGGCGCACTCTATCTGGCTGGTGTTATTGTTTCCACAGTTGTTGCTCTAGTCCCGACCATCTGTGAAATAGAGTGAAGAAAGTCAGATACCAATATGTATCACCTAGGTACCAATTGGATTCAAGTAATAGCATGAAAGAAAGAAAGATAAGAGTTTTCCTAAAAGTCTTATAGCCTCTCGAAGAAAAGTAAATGCATGCCCGTACCGTTCCACAAGACTCTACTAGACTTGTCCTTGTGTGATGAGATCACCGAACCCTCTCGAAGAAAAGTAAAGGCGTCCCCATACCGTTCCGCAAGACTCTACAAGACTTGTCCTTGTGTGATGAGATCACCGAACCTAAGGCTCTGATACCAAGTTTGTCACGATCCAAAACAAGTCGGGAGTAGCACCCACACTTAACCTCCTAAGTGGGCGAAACAAGGAATCCAAACCCCAACATATATCAATAATTCAACTACGAATAACAAAAATAATGCGGAAGCTCAAAACTTATTGAAGTAACCAATCAAATAAACCTCTAAAGTCTAACACTTATTATCCCCAAAATCTGAAAGTCATCACATCAAGGACATTTGTTCTCAAAATACCAAGTCTAAGAGTATTAAAGACACAAAAATAAGTAAAAAAGATGGTCTATGTCCGAAATTTAAGGACATCACACCATGATTGAGAGAATCCAGCACGAGCTAGAAGGAATAGCTCACCCTGCAATCTGATGTACAGGAGACTGGCTAGGGCTGAGTCAAGTCTACTAATCCTCCATCGAAGTTAAGCAGTTGGCATTGAGGTGTGATAGTTTTCATCCATGGTGCCCCTTCCTCCATGGAGTTCCCAAATTCTCCAATTTACAAAGTTAGAATTCCACAATTGAGTTAAGGCTTTCTTCTATGTTATGGGTTCTCTTAATTATGGATCTAATTTATTGATTTATGATCTTTTATGCAAGAATTTAGTTAATCTCACTCTTTTATGATGATCCCCATGAACCCATGCAATTCCCATGTTTTCCAAGTCATGATCATATTATGTGGGTTTGGAATTATGAAAGAAGAGTTTATGAAATTATACATGTCTTATGAAGTTGATGTAAATGTTTTATGGATTCTTGGAGAGTGAAGTATCATTGATCTTGTCATGCCTCAAATCTTATTAAGACGGACAGGCACCCGATGCCCTAAAGTTCCGAGAGAACCAACATGTAACATATGCTTACTATGCTTATAATTATGACAATCTTGTGACAAGTTCACATTGGATGTAGCGATACGAACCAACATAAGTAGACCCAAAACTTATATACAAGACCTGGCCGTTGAGGCCACCACTTGTTAAGACGCAACTGAACCATATACATAAGTCTACAAAGCCTCTAAAAGATAGAAAACCTTATAATAGGTCAAGACAGACCCCACCTTACCCTTAACTACGACACAATACCAAAATGAATCTACCAAGGACTCAGTAAAGCTCCGAATCAATCTGAAGCTCACCAAAAGTAGCTGAGTGTCGTGTGCTCCTACTGAGGAGGTCTATTAGCTGAAGTACCTATGCCTGCAACATAAAATGCAGCGTCCCCCTCGAGGGACGTCAGTATGAGAATATGTACTGAATATGTAAGCCAATAACATATATAAAATAAGAGTTCGAATGAAACCAAGAATCAATATATGTGTGCATAAATCAGAACAGATGACCACCTTTGTTAACTCTTGCGGGATCATGTATGTTACATTCTTGTCTTTACCTTTTCTGTGTTTTATGATCTTTATAAGGCCTGTGATACGAATGACCAGCTGATCAGTGGTAGAAGAGGATGACCCATGCTAGGCATTTTAACCCCTGGGATGCGGTCCTCATAATTACACAAATCGAGATCGGCCCATGCTAGGCTTTCGCCCCTGAGTTGCCACCCTTCTATACCAATTATGATCGACCTATGCTAGGCTTTCACCCCTGAGCTGCCACCCTTCTATACCAATTATGATTGACCTATGCTAGGCTTTCACCCCTGAGCTGCCACGCTTAATTATACAGATCGCTTCACTTAATTCTTTAATCTTTGAGATTGTTGTTTTGGTGGTCATAATCATTTTTTATGTTTGGAACTACGGACCAGTAGTAGAATACATGAAAATAATACTTCAAGGCAGTAACAATGACATAAGGAGCTATGTAACATCAATGCATTACTTGTGAGCTTAAATGACACAATTCACTTCAATTGACTAAGAGGAGGATTCACCAAACTTGCTTTTGCAAATACCATTTCTACACCAGCACATAGGTAGGATAATTACACAAGTATAGAGTAGTGAACATATAATGAAGTAATTCTATACACTAAGAAGAGGGTGAAATATTGTTAGCTATTTGGATATCGTACGCTGCCACTATGTTTCCTTTACTAGGAATAGAACTTAGGAAATTCACTTATTGATATTAATTGGAAGTATCAGATTTCATGCCGAAGAATATTGAATCGAATAGCCTTACATACCTTATCCTCTGACCAATACAACTATCACGATTCAGCCTCCCCTTTCAGGTTTTAATCTACAATATAAGTCATGATAAACTAAAATTAGCAGCTATCACACTGTGAGTCTCATAAAACAGTAGCTAACTTGACGGATAATGAGCCCATACAACCCTCAAAATAATGTGTATCACCGCACCCTCCTTCTCTGCCCAATCCATACATTATATATCCTTTTCCAAGATTACCCAAGCTGCACCAACAACAATACACATAAAACAGCCTCATATATTCTTTATCATACAATCAATTATTGAACTCACCACCCCCTTGAGTTCTTTATGACAGCACACCCATAATTCCTCACTCAAACTCATACATAAGGTGGAAGAAAATGGAGCAGTCAACTTACCTCCATTTCTACAACTTCTCCTTATAACTTGAATTCCTCTAGAACTTCAACTTCCTTTCACACTTAAACCAAAGAAGAAGAGAAAAGTATCTTAATAACCAAGGAAGTGAGCAGTAGGCTCTGGAAATATTATGCCTTTATGCTTATACTTGAGCGTGAATAACATGTTTTCCTAATCATCCATAGGATAATTAAGCTAAATCCATAAGTGTTTTCACTTACCTTGTCTTGCAGAGATGAGGATTTCTTCAAGAACACTAGAAGAGCTTTAAGCCTGTTGTTTTAATCCTTAAGAGAAAAGAGAGGGAGAGCTGGAGTTAATCCTCAATATTGTGTGTTAAAATGAGTGAGAATAGTAGCCAATATATCTTATATTGAGATTTCTTCACCTTTAAGAATATCCCCTAGAAAGCTTCATTTTCAGCTACTAATTGGTCAAGTAGGTGATGCACCTGCTTATGTACATCAAGCAGCTTAAAAGGTCAAACTAGGTGATGATGCACCTATTGGCTTTCACTTGGGCTTATATATTGGTCCTTGACAGATTTGGTTGTTGGGCTTAAATTTCATTTTCCTTTTATTTAACTTAGTTTGGGCCTCAAGTGAGTCCATTAGCATAGGCCCAAATCTGATCCATAAACCTTGGCCTTTTTAACTAGATGTAACTTCGCATCTTCGTGAGAAAGACCCATGCCTCCGCTTATGGCTTTCATACCACCCATACGTTCTCTCCTTCTCTCGCCCTCCCTGACATTGCCTTTGCATCGCAAGGAGGAAGAAGGGTCTATGCCGAAAGATAAAAGGGTGCTGCATGTATAAGTCCAAAAGAGCTATGATGACTCTTGAAATGGAATTGGAAGAGCAAGACGGGCTAGGGCTGGCATATTAACAGGATATTCAATTTGTGATAATGATGGCGGATAAACCTTAGAATAATCTTACTTGTCCCCAACGCTAAAGTACCGGGCATTTTCGGGGACTAGCCCGCTTCCACTTTTTTTTTCTTTTCTTTTTTCTAAAAGTCAGGGAGGATTAAGAAGGCCATCATTAAGGAAAACAAGGCAATAGCTTCGGTTAAAGCAAATCCCAAAATAGCATAACCAAATAATTGTTTTGCCAATGAATGATTTCTCGCAACAGAATTAAGGAACTGAAAACATTTCCAATACCGGCAGCAGCTCCCGCTGAAGCAATTGTAGCAGCTCCTGCGCCGATTCATTTTGCACCTTCTAATCTTACATAATAATAAAGAAAGTTAGCTCTTTATTTGTTTATCTCGCCCTTCTTTCTTTTCTTCGATTTTAGATGGTAAAAAAGAGAATGGAATTTCCGATCTTGTACCCAAAGTGCGGTACACCTCACACCAACCCAAACTCCCTACCCTCATAAAAAAAAGTGACCCCCTTTGTTTGATTAGTCAGTTTTCAAGAGGGGGAAGTTCTTATGGCAATCTCAGGCATACTACTAATCGATTATTTGGCCTGATTGAAACAACCTAGGAAAGGTTGTCAGCCTACATAACCAACTTCTCATACCAAGAAAGCCAGGTATCAGATCCCTGTAGTTCGAGCCCTTTTTTTTTCCCCAGTTCCTGTACGTGGAATGATTTCCAGTGAGTAAAGTAGTCTGGGGGAAAGATAAGCCCTACCCACTATCCTTTCCCAAAAAAAGGGGGCCCGTCCTCGAGAGGACTCAAACTACAACTTATATTTAACTAACCAAAACCACCTACCCCCATTATTGTTAACGCAATATGTACGGCTTGCGCAAAAAATAAGGATGAATGGGGTGGTTTAGAAGGCGCTTTCCGATCTACGGTCCCTCGGAGCGAAGGGTTAGGCAGGTAGTATGGGCCCTCTGACTTCCAGCTATGTGCTGTGCGGCTCCCGCGAAGCGAATGAAGGGAAGCTCTTCGAGCTTCCGGGTGAGCTTACGCTTACTCTCAGCCTCTTTGATTGATAGGCGGGCGGGCTAAGCCCCCTACTTAAGATTCAATTCATAAGGCTAATTTTATGTTGTCGTGAGGCTTTGGTTAGGCCGACTACTATAGGCTAGCTACTTCTAGCTTCTATACTGGCCCTTCCACTTTGGTGTAGTTTTCGTTTGTATTGGTACTGAATGAACATATCAAACAAAGGCGAGCAGTATAAGCCCTTCTCCGGCCGGCCTGGGAAAAGCAGCGAACTCTAGAAGCTAGGGCTTTGTTCACCTTTGGACACGAACACTATTCCGTTCTCAGCGGAAACCCGCCTTAGAGATTGAACGGCAATAAGATAAGTCAACGTTCAATCTAAGACAGCGCTGAGCGCTGATAGCTTGTAGTGAACAGCCCCATTATGAAACCAACCGAAAGCAGCCTTTGGTACTTAAGTAGTTAAGGTTTGGAACCCTTGCAACTATGATAGAAAGCCGTTTGCTTGTTGCCAAACCCTTCGCCTTTCTTTTGAATCAAAGTAGGTCGCGACTGTTGTATTTTAGTCGGTCGGGGGAAGCGGTAGCTTCGTGCTCCGCTTCTCTCGCGCTTGCTTGTGTGAAGGCTTAGAGCCCTTTCGCTAGGTCCAAAAGCTTCCCAAAAGATCTAATCCAACAGATATACCACATTGAGCGTAGCTGATATGCGGCTACGACTAGTTTGAAAGGTGACAACAGCATGTATAAGAGCCGAAATATGAGTAGAGGAAGGAGCCGGTTTTCAAATAAGTAAATCGGATCATATAGCTCAAGTAGGTGATGCACCTACTTAGTCATTTGGACTGGTCAATAAGTCAAAGTAGGTAATGCACCTACTTGTCACCTGCTAGCTTAGTTAAGTCAAGCAAGCAGCTCACTTAGTTTATTCCATTTTCTAAATATTAATTCCTTTTGCTTTAACTTAGCACTTAACTTTCAACTTTAAGCTCAATTACCACCTTACTATCTATTTAAATACTCCCGTTGGAGTTAACTTGCAGTACACATGCTGAAACGTGCAAGGCATCACATCACCTTCCGAGCTAGTTTAAACCAACACTAATCATATAAGAATCATGGTCCCTCACCTATACTATAAGGCTATGTAAAGTATCACAAGAATATAACAACCATATGCGTAATACGGGCTGTTATAGATGTTGTTGTTGTTGTGTTGTTGGAAGGATTTCTCATAAACACATAAAAGCATGCATGTGAAAGGTTTTCTCACATAATAAGGATTCTTAAGGTTGAAAGACTGTCTCACCAAAAAATGAACCAATGTTAATAATCTATTCTAATGTTGAGGCAAGAGGTGATTACCCGTGTCACATAATGTAAGGAAAAGAGGCGATTACTCATGCTCCTTTAAGATCTAAGATGAATATGAATAAGAACTATTCAGTGTATCGCTCCAAAGTGATAGCGCCATCGAAAGATAAAAAGCTTAGCACCGATGGACAAGTGGTGACTACCCATGTCCCATAAACTATGAGCAAACATAGGATTGTTTAGATAGACATTATCTAGTGGATCCACAATAGCTAGAAGTTCATGGTCCTTACCTTGGCAAGTAGGACAACCCTTTCCGGTGTGGGAGACACCGGATTCCATGTTGATAGATCACGTGGTCTTATATGTAGGTTAAGGCTACTTCCCACAAGCAATTTATGATGAACCAAGGTTACTTCAAGGAAGTATCTCATATATGTTCAAGATGATGATTATGTGCATTGATCATGTTTTATGACTCGTGTTTTCTAACCCTTTTATATCGTGTTTTAGCTTGGTCATTGCATGGTTATGAAGTTGTTCGTTTTAAGCATGTTTTTAAATATTTTATACATGGCTATCATACTTGGTACATATTTTGTACTAATGCATACTCTTGCCTACATTTCCCCAAATGTAGGGTCTGACAAGGTTCCCAGTTTTGTGGTTAGAGTTCCTTGAGGAGATTCCGAGCTTTGGTGAGTCATTCTTCGAGGATGGACATTTATTGTTTTTAGTCTTTCATTACTTTTAGTTTTGAAACATGATATACAGGCTACACCCAGATTCATTATTATGTACTAGATGGCTTTGAGACAATGTTTAGACTTCCACTTTTCTTTTATAAAATCTCTATGTTGGAACTGTCTTTAAATCTTTTACATTTCTATTATCTTGTATGAAGAATCTAAGTGGCTTGTATGGGCCCTTTCAGGGTCTGATACGCCATGTTACGCATAGGGGCTACCTTGGGTCGTGACATTTCACAAAGGAAAACACAAAAAAAAAATAAAAGAAGACAATAGACCCAATCATAAATCACAATATTACAAGTGATTAGTATTATAAACCAAAGAAATCCAAATAGCTTTCATGTTCTAAGCGGCAAAAAAATAGTGAAATATTATCCAAATTGAAACAAGACTGGAACACTAAAGAAGTTGAGGCATGCTGTGAATGAATTGATTTAACTTTGAATTATTACAAACTTACCAACCTATGATTACATTTACACCACTTCGACAAAAGCGAGAATGAACAGTAAAGAAATCAAATGACATCACAGATACACACACAATTAGAAACAAATTAGTGTTAAAACAATTGGAACAAAGCGTATTAATTCACTTTGCAGGTATGCATTGAAACAATCTCCCAAACTACCATCAAAATACAGATCGAACTCTATTTACAGTTCAACTAACTAGTAACAACTCCATTAACATTGAATGAGTTACTGTCTCAATGCACCTAAACAGTCTAACATCACAACACTGTAACTACCACATATTTAACCTAATCATGATCAACTTAAGGATAAACAAACTAAAACATTATACTCCAACAAAACATATTTTAACTAACCAAACCACTAAGGAAAAGATGACTTTAGATTCATGCTAAGTGCAAGAAGCCAACAGATAACATCATTATTCACAGTGAACAAATGATACCTAAATAACAAAGATTTACCATAAAGTAGCAGGATGCAAATATATACTTTAAGTTTTAAAAAAACTAAGTCGACTCAAAATAACATATTCACGAGAAAATCAAAGTTTAGC